GCCTTTTTTTTTTTTTTTTGGCTATTCATAAAAAGGCTAATCTTGATGCATGCAAGGCTTTTCATTTTTTGCTTTTTAAATGCAAAAAAAACCCCAAAAAACAAAACACAAAAAACACACCACATCCAGCCACTCCCAATATCTCTCTCAAATACTGCAGATATTTTTAAATGCCAAATTAAAATGACAGGCTGGGCATTTTTCAAGTGTGTTCTCCCCAAAGCCAGGAAGCCTTCCCCACGATCCCTTAGGGGTATTTAAAAGCCATAAAGCATGGCTAGATTTTGAGCAGATGGGAGATGGTGGTAGTCTAAAATGTCTATAGCCTCAGTCCAGTGAAGACAGAAAACGAGGGTAAATGAGTCACAGTTTGTGCCAAGACGAGGTTCATTTTCCACACTTCGTATGTTGGGGAGAGGAAACTACATTTTAATTAGCGTGTTTTGGGGGAAGAGGGAGGAGGTTAAGATGATGGGATGGCATTTAAGGGGGAAGGAAAGGAAATGGACTGCGGCCAGTGCCTCGGAAACGAAGGGACCCAGGGTGGGGATTGAAGTTAGTTGTGCGCCTGAGGGTGGGGTTGACCCGAGGGACCGTGAGTGGCCGGAATGGCGCTTAGCCGGGCGAGCTGGGCAGTGCGCGCGCCGGGGGCGACGTGGGTGCCGCAGGGTGTGCAAGCCGCGGGTGGCGGAGAAAGGTGCGAGTTGCTCGGAGGCCTATTTGGGGACCGGGCTGCGGCGAGAGACGAGCGTGGGCGGCCCAGTGTCACCTGTGGGTGACCCCCCCCTCCCTGTAATTGCGCCCTGCAAAGTTTCCCAGGCCCCGCGTTCATTTCCAAGGCTGGCGGTGCCTCGACTTCTCGCCTCCAAGAGGTCAGCTCTGATAATGCCACCAGGCCAGGGGCCGAGGTGGGGGTGAAGACCCGCCCCGCCCGGGGCGAAGTGCAGCAGGGTTGAGAGAGCCCCCGCCCTGCCCCTCTGCGTTGTAAGGGGGGGGAGGCGCCCCCACTGGCAACTGTGCTCCGGAGAAAAACCCAGGCCCCTCCAATGGGGGGCGCGCGGAGCTTGAACCGCAGCAGCGACCTGACGCTCAAACCAGCAGGCAGCGTGGGCTCCCACAGAGGCGGCTCGGCCTCGGGAACCGGGGTCTCGCTCGGGCTGGGGCGGGCGACTCGGCCGAGGCGCTCCCCTCCCCTCGCCACCGGGTTTCCGTCTGGGTCGTTTTCCCCANGAGAGCGAGAGGTTTCGGCGACTCAGGTGCCGCCGCTTCCTGCTCCGCAGGGCTCTGCGCCTAGTCCCACCCTCCTCACGCCCCCTCCCCTTCTTCTGCCCTCTCCTCGGGAGCGGTGCGGAGCCGACCGTGCGGTGCTGAGGAAGCGGCGGCGGCGGATCGGGCGGCCGCGGCGGCGGCGGAGGAAGAGGGAGGGAAGCACAAAGCCGGCTGCGCGCTTGGAGGTAATCCTGAGGGGAGAAGGCGCTGCGGCTCGGCCCCTCCTCCGGCGGGGACGGCGGTCGCCCGCGCGGGC